AAAACACCGTAAAACCTGTAAATAGGGGGTACTGTTTTATGTTTTGTTTTGATCACAACATGTACATTTGGCTCAGTCCTTAAGGGGTTAAGGAGATATGTATCAATGACAAATAATCTAATAAGTACATCCTGGTGGTATGTAGAAATTAGTAGTGTCTAAAAGTCAAATGAATGACGCACAATTACACAGAAATAAAATACTGAGAGACAAAATGAATATGGCCTCTTGTTAACTCCTACATGAAAAATCTGGAAGACCATTTCATGTTTGGAACCAAAGCACCGGAGCTATACAAAGGCTGTGTGCATTTCCATCCATTCTCCCATGACGCCTGTTATACATGGGAGTTATAGATGCCAGGGATATTTCCTCTGATAATTCCCTCTCGGCATGCGTATTCCTGCCATAGCACGTCAAGGTTTTCTTTTGACAATTCTTTTGACAATCTTTATTTGTAAAGGATTTTGCAATTACAAAATTTTAATAAACAGGAGAAGGGAGAGAGAGAAAAAACATTCCAGCACATATCCAAAAAAAAACAGGCTTACTACAACACATGTACAGGATTATTGGGTAGTGAACCATCAGTGGGACTTGAACCTATTGGTGAACTACAAAATAGAAACACTGCAATCATCATCTTAACCAGCTTAATAAGTGTTGGAACGTGGGCTTATGGCCTGCAGTAGGAAAGAGGTGAGAGATGGGTACCAACTTAGTCAAGTAAAAAGTAGAAAGAGGCAAGTTAAGAATAAAGAGAGGGAGGGGAAAAAGGAGGGGGGGAGAGAGTGGAATGGAAAGCCTATGTCGGTGAACTGGGGGAGATGCTCAATATTCAAGACCTCCATGCACGCTCCTCCGAACAACCACCTAAGCGCCAGAACAAATGTAGAACTGCCATGGTCTCCAAATTTCCTTCATGTCGCTGGATTTGGCCTTTTAACATTGCTGTGTTTTCTTCACAGCCACGTATCTCGTCAACCCTTTCCATTTAAGCATTAATGGAAGGGTGGCTTCAGGTAATTTCCAGAGAGTCTGAATAAGGGGCTGCAGTTTGAAAGTGTTTTTTTTTTCCTCGGAGACCGGGAGTTTTGAATGGTTTAAAAGCACATCCGCTGGTTGAAGACATACCCCTTCATCAGCTACCCTTGTCTAGGTATGATTTTCAGGCATTCTGAAAATATGTGTAGAAGGGAGCTTCTTGGGGCACTGCACATCCAGCAAGAGTCTGAAACCTCCGGGAAACATTTATGTAACTTTTGCGGCGTGTATACCAATGAGTCAACATTTTATAGTTGAATTCCTGGAATTGTGCACTCTGGGAACTCAGGTGGGTGAACAGTACCATCTTGGACCATTCTTCTTCATAAAAGGAAGTTTGTAAAGACTTGAATCGAAATGAGGCCGGACATGCTTTAGCAATAGCATCTGATATAGAGTGGAGACAGGGCCAGTGCAAGCATTTCTGCCACTCTAGGCAAAGATCCATTTTGCTGCCTCATCGTAATATAGTTCTATTGTGTCACAAGTTGATTCACTGAACACCAAACGGAAACCTTGCAATGTATTTTGTTTTTAATAATTTATTAGATTTACCTGCAAAGTGTCAGGTTACATTATGTATCAGTCAGGGGCATGTCACAGGCTGCCATCTCATTGCAGGGTACTGGGGACACTCCTACTAACTTCCAGCTTGTCCTTAGCCTCCTTTTATGACGCGGCTACTGAGCGCCGACGTCATGATGCTAAGAACGCCACAGCCCGCCAAGATGTTCAAACGAGAATGTTTTGTGGGAGTGGTTACCTACCTAAGTGAACACGGTATTTAAAGAAAAACCAGGGAGAGACTCATTGCCCTGTTGTGGTTCTTGTTTGACCCAAGAGCGCGTATACCGTATTGGAATTCTGACTTTGTTTGACTATTCCTACTTTTGTTTTCCTTTGACCTGGGCTATTGCATTATCGTTGATCCTGATTTCTCATACCCCTGTTAGTCCGGCCATCCTAAGGTCCAATATACATTACTAGTATTTGCGTTCTGCGTGTAGGATCCCTGAACGTTCCTGACAGAAAATATGCTTTTATTTTTGCAACATATTTTTCTGCAAGTCCCCAGTCTGTGCTAGGTAATACTCCAATCATTCTCATTGAGAAGAAGCCTC